TGTTTAAATTAATATTAGTAGGATATACTTTAGCATCCACAACAGCTTTTTAAACGTCTGGGAATAGATTTTACTAGTTTTTTTTTTTTTTTTTTTTTTTTTGTAATTTCTGTATCAATGTTCATCCATTCTTCCATCATGGCTGATTTGAATTCGCTTTTCGTTTTGATGTCGTGTTTTCGTACTCTAACCCTCAGCTCTTTCCAAATGTGTTCTATGGCGTTTAAATCTGGCGACTGAGGTAGTATTTTCAAAACCTGTGGACAATTATAGACACTACAGGCGAACGTTGAGAGCCGTATACTTAGGATCGTTATTATGATTAGAGTTCTTTCCAATACCCAAATTTTGGTCTGATAATTTTAAATTGTTTCTTAAAATATTTAAATAAAGAGAATGGTTCATTATGCCATTAATAAATACCAAATTACCTAGTCCTGATGCTGTCATATCCCCCCCCCCCACACACATAAGAACACCTCCACCGCCATGCTTAACTGTTCCAACTAAGTTCTTAGAATGAAGTTCCTCATTTTTTCTTCTCCATACAGTTATTCGACAATCGGAACCAAAAATTTTAAATTTGCTTCGTCAGCAAATAGGACATTTTCCAGTACTTTTCGGGTGTATTTATCATTGATTTTGCGAATGAAAGAATAAGTTTTCTCTTTTTTCTCACTAACAAAATTTTTTACGGGCAGAACGCCCATGAAATCCAGCTTCTCTGAGAACTCGTCGAACTGTTTATGGCGAAATTGAAGTAGAAAACTTTGCATTAAATTCTGCAGAAACTTTTACAGCACTACATGGGTTTTCACAAATTTTCTAATAATAAATCTCTCATCACGTTTAGTTAACTTTCTCGGTCGACCTTTTCTTACCTTGTTTTCAATCCGATTTTCTTCTTTAACGCGTTTTATCACATACTGCACTGTAAAATGGGATAAATTAACTAATTTATCGATATTTCAAATTGATTTACCACTACTATTGGTGTAAAGTTATCAATTTTCGAATGCTGGTTTTAATTTCTTTACGACTGCGACGCATTTTTCAATAATAAATAGAATATTATGAAGTAAACAATAAAAAATTAAAGCACACGATTTTTTAAAATGCCACTACAACGCAAAAATTAAAAAAAAAAAAAAAAAAAAAAAAGCGGCAAACGATAATTCTAATTTTGATTTTATCAAAAATTATTCAGTGTACGAAGACTTTTGTGAAATAAAATGTTTATCATTTTTTGATTATTAATTTTCTTAAAAAAAGTTTCTCTGTATTATTTAAAAAATATTTCATGTAATTTTATAACGAATAGATTATAGATCTTATTATTAAAATCTCACATTCAGAAAGTTTACTTTTAATTAATGGATACAGCCTACACTGTATATACATCCACTCTATTATCCGGCTCAGTGATCTCAGTTTCTTTACTCATGTGTTTGTAAATTGTGAAATTTTCACTTTAAAAATGATTGAATTATGTTGCTCTTATCTTCCGGTTAAGGTTTTTATGCTTTTAGGAAATCTGCAAGCAATATTTGTAGAATTATCAACAATTTAAAAGCTGTTTAAGTGCGGTTAAGCCTAATTTTTAAATAACATGAGGGACATATTTGTTTACATTTGAAACAGCAGAATAGCTAATTTATTACCAATCTAGAGAGACTAAGATTCGCAACAACAAAGATAATACCTTCATTTATTATTGCGAATTAAATCATGTTTAATCCTTTCTGGAAATTTTTTGAGGAAATAAGTGTTTAAGATTTACTTCGTAATTTTTAATACAGATATTTTGAGTTTTTATGTATTTTTGCCTTGACGCGAAGTGAGAACTGAATTAATTGAATGAGAAATACAGAATAGTCTGTGAAAAACTGTTTCTTTTTTGTTTGTTTGCTTAATTTCTTTTATACATCGTTCTAGATTTATTATAGTATTTGAATAGAACATGTGGCAACGATTTAGATAATCTTGAAATGATATAAATGTTGTGCATTCTGAGTTATATATTTTTCACAATGACTTGGAAATTAAACCCACGGATTCTAAAATTCTAAAAGCTTCTCATAACTTTTTTTATGAATGTGACAGGGACTCTAAGAATATCATAAAAAAACTAGGAAATTATGACTTCGCAAATGAACAACGCCACAAGAGGGCCCCGCACTATTCACCATAATAGTCGGTGGTAATGTATATATTTCGTTTTTTTTTCTTATTTAAACCAAGCTTTTACCTTCATTTTCTTTACTTATAGTTTTACTTATCAAATTACAAAGCGCTATGGACTTTGCTAAAGGAGGTAGACTTTGTGTGTAAATAGTTTTTACTCTTGTGAAACGTTTCAATGTACTGCAAATTGTGCTTTTCATCATTTTACTTACCAATTACTGCTTATCAAAAGAATAATTTTTATGAAATTTTAAAAATGCCTTGCAATGGTGTAACTAAATATAGTGAATTTTAAAGAGTGCATTTATTCTATTGGGGTTTATGTCTTACCGACGAAGTAGTGTTAATTCAACACGGGAAAAGAGCGTATAATTTAATATTCTGTATTAGGAAGTCCTGTGGTGTACACATCAGATTTTTTTAGTTGTAAAGTAGTTTACACCTTAATTAATAAAGTAATTTATTTAATGATTAATTAAACATGTTAGAATTATTTGGAATAAATGCCACTCTGAATTTAACTGCCAATATATTTGAAGTGCAAAGAGTAACCAACAAACAACCCTGTCTTTCAGTTACCAAAGTTTAGGTTTTAGTCTAAAAATAAATATAAATTTGACTTTTTTTTTCGTGTGTGTTTTTATTATTGTTTATGCATGTTTTAAAAAATACTTAGAGCGACATTTATGTTTATTCGAAATATTTTGTTATTAGTATAATATTTTGTCTGGTGAAACGGTATATCATGCATGCTCGCAATTTGAGTTTGAGACCACTCACGTATGTATGGTATGTAATATCAGTTAAATGCATGGATAAAATTACAAAATTACTTTGAAGGATGGCAGCATTATTCTGGTCAGGTGACGAAGTCCCAGTCTTGGGAAGTTTCGACAAGCATATAAAATTAGAGCCTCCTCCATTCTTCTGTGGGCCTACAACTATGCCGTCTGACATCTTATCTGCTACTTCAATGCAATTCTGTTTACCCCAATGGATGTAAGTTGCACCACGCCCACGGTTCCTAGTCCATTCTGGAAGACAGTATTTTTATTTAAAGGTTTCACTTTGGACAAGGGAGATAAATATTTCAGTATCCCTATTTAGTGGATAATTAAATAAATTTTGGATCATAATGGATACTAAGATAATAGTTTATTAAAACCAAATTAAAAATCAACTAAAGAAGAACTTTAGTTTAAAAATAACTTATTGAACTTTCTTAAGGATTCTTAAGATAATTCCATAAGATCTTTGTTATTCCAATATTTTTAAAATTTTTTATTTTGACAATGATAGAAAAATATAAAAATACTAAAACAATATTTCACATTTTGAATAAAATAAAATCAAAAACTCTGCCTTAAAACGGTGATCGAACTTTCTCTCGCACTCTTCCAGAAAAAGTTTCGCTGTTTTTTTTCTTTCGAATCGGGCGTTCGCTCGCTCAGTAAAGTAAACGAAAAGCACATACTTATTTCGGGATACGCTTCCAAAAGAAGCTGTCCGTGAACTGAAAAGGGCTATTCACACTGGGGTTTATCTGAGCCAGCCAATGTTGACATCTGGCACACCCGTTATTGCTCCATGGCGTCGAAAAAACAAGCTTTCCTCAGCTGAAAAATCTGTATTTCATGCATAGCGGAGCTAGTCGACACATGGAACAGACTCCTTAGGTCTGATAAACCCCAATGCAAACGGCTCTTAAAAGAGCCACCACTTGGTTTTCCGGAATCAACTGTTCATTCATTCAGTATCGATTCTTTGAACCAATTCCAAATCATATCGTGCAGTTCTAGTTCGAATCTCAGTATACGAGTTGTCTGCATTAAAGTTTTCGTGTAAAGTATATGCGTAAGAGCCAATTTCCCTTAAAATGTCTCTCTCGAAGGTATTTCCTTTAATCAGGTAGTCCTGGAATGCTTCTTCAGAATCTAAATCATCCTAATCCTGAACATTTCAGATTACAGCCAAAGAAGAGTTTACCATTAAAAATGCTCAAAATTTTGAAAGATATAGAAAAAATTAAAAAATACAAAATTTTCATGCATATTTCGCTTTTCTTCTTAAAAATTGATGTTTGATGTTGCCAATTCAGAAAACTAAATCTTTACTCTTAAATAAATTCAAAACCCTTAGTTACTAATGTTTCAAAATCTCTAGCGTTTTGTTTCGATACTTTTTTTGGTTACAAAACGTATAATAAAAAATAATATTTTACAAAATTATGTAGAGTTTGAACAAAATTAATAAAATAAATGTATACAGAAACTAGCAATCTGTACTTTGTGACAAAACTATATCACAAATATTAGATTTTGCTTTAGAAAAATTGGATTATTTGACGATGGTAAAGCACACTTGGATTTTCTACATAAAGGAAGGGATGCCTTCGTAGAGGACTTTCTACAGAACATTGTCCAGTAATTAGAGGATGGCGATCCGCTTCGGCAAAATTTTTTGGGCGACATTTCTTACAATAAACTTAATTTTTATAACTTGCTAATTAGGTGGATCGTTGAGACATGTTCAGAATAATCAATTTCTAAATAGCCATATGAAATTAAATTAAGAAAAAAAAAAAAAAACCTTTTATTCTAGACTAGTGGTCATTAACCTTTTTTCGGCATATGCACCTCCACCACTTCTCGAAGATCATTAGTCCCCTCCTTTCCAAAAGTATCAAAATAAATATAAATAAAATATATATATATAGTCTGATAATCGTGGGGTCAAATGTTTTGAATTATTTAAATTTAAGTGGAAAAGTGTTTTAACTAAAAAATAAATTACTGAAAAAAATTAAATAGAATTTTAAAATTCCTCTTATATTTTATATTACTAGATAAGATTGGACAGCTTAAATGTGAATAAAAACTTACCCCCTTGATCTTTAGCCTAAAAATAAATAAATACATTTATTAGAATAATAATTTTGTAGTACAAAATCTAATGAAAAATCATTCAAGAATCTTAAGAAGAATTTTTATTGCAAAAAAAGATTCAAAACATTTTGAAATGCATGAAGGATCTTACCACAGCTTGCCGTAACAATAAGTATTTCTTGTAGTACATTCCTGGAACGCCACTTCCGTAAGCATCATTGGCAGGTTTCAGCTGTTCACTTCCCTTAGACATGTCAAGATCTCCAATCACCTTGTAAAATGGCTGGATAGTTTTCTGGATTTCTGAGTAAAAATTCCCGATCTGAAAGTCATTTCGGAAACTTTACTTCTTTCTTCAAAAAGAATGACCGAAGCGTACATTTGTATAAATCACTTTTAGGTTAGATAACTGTAATTACATGGTGGTCCTTGAAAAATGAAATTTTAATATTCGTGTCACGAACCTTGGACGAGGTCGTAACCTCTCACTCTCTCTTTACTGACTATTCATCTACTTGGCAACTTGGTGTCACCAAATGAAGTAACATTCAAGCTTTATGTTGCTTTTATACAGTGCCGGGTATAGACTTGATAAGGCCCTAAGCGTTTCGAGATATGAGGCCCATTAAAAGTCGTCCAGATATTATATGTCAGCGCGAAATATGATTTTAGGATATCTAAAGGGTTTTTTGGGAGGCCCTCAAGAAAGCGGGGGCACTGAGCTATAACTTTTCCAGCTTATACGTAAATCTTACACTGCCTTTATATTAGCATCTTCTGCCCACATCACGCCAGAAATAAGGCTGCCAATCTTTTCATATTATGTTTGAAATAGGTACTTTATAGCGGACCGCCTTGCATAAACTAAGCAAAGAGAATTAAAAAATATTGTTACGAAATGTACAGGCGCGGTGAGATAGTTTCCCCGCAAAGAAGGTTTAGGTTTGTCATAAATGGCAAGGGAAGGCAAGGTTGCAACATTTGGCGACATTTGGTGACAAAATTGGCGGTATGCCTTGGACGGACGGAGAATCTTCTGGAACGAATTCTTACCGGTTTACCGGTTTAGCTCAGAATGTTCTCGAACACAAGCCGAATGCTATATAAACCCTGCTGGTCCGCAGTCAGAGCGTGTGTGCCTCGTAGAGAGCGAGATAGTTAATCAGTCCGTGAGGAGTCGATCGAGTTGACAGCCGGGCAGCGAGTGCCGAGTGGGTCGTCGAGTGCATCGAAGAGTCTCTTAGTGTATCGCGGTTAGTGCATCGTCGACAGAATGTGTTAAGCTCCGGGAACGACTGAACCGAAGAATCGGGAGCTGTGCTCTGGGTGTCGTCGAGTGCATCGCGAGTTGTAGCGTGGAGAGTTCGAGAGTATGTGGAGTTCCGAGAACGACCGAGCCGAGTCGGGAGCTGTACTCTGGTGCTTTGCAGTGAAGCTGTCTCCACCGTTATAAGCGTGATAGTGTGTAGGCTGTGTCGCTGATGTGTCAGAGTGTTTATAGTAGATCTTGACGACTTTGACGACTTTCGAGCTGTCCTGATTAATATTGGCTAAATAAAGTGTGTTTCGATATTTCATCAAGTAGCATCGTCATTATACATTCCAAATCCAAACGAATCCCGTACGAACGTGAAGGAAGAAGATAATGTAACAACTGGTGTCAGGAAAAAAGAGAAACGCAACAATATCTTACCCTAGCTCCATCATTCATATAGCTTCTACAAAACATACAAGATCCTATATAGAAGCTTAAAGTGGTGTCAGACTGTGCTAAAAAGAACTGATCTGTGCTTACTAGAAAAATTAGTCTAGTTCTAACATTTCCTATAGTGAGACTGAACTTACAAGGGCAACCTGTGTTATCATGTTGTCTTTACATGTACACAACTGATCAAGGAGCATACACGTGCCAAATGTGTTGTCATAGTGTCATTACATATACACATACACATGTTACCATTACATATACGCCAATAAATATAGTGTTCTACCGAAATTCAATCTGGATATATCTTTTATTTAAGATATCCGGTAATAAAGTAACCAGCCAAAATATATAGCGCATTAAATCATTGCATCCATAAAAACTGCATCTCAGATTTGAAGCTTAATGGAGCCGAGTAGTTATACATTATTATTCTCATGATTTTACAAATGTGTACTCACACAGGGGGCCCGACAGATCCGGTGTTTCAAATTTCTCTGTCAAGGGGGGCGCTATCATGGGGGCGGGGGGGGGGCAAAAAACCGGAGATGGTAGGGGAAAGGGGAGGGAGGATAGAGGGTAATCGAGAAATGGGAGGGTAGTAAGAATTGATAAAATGGGGAAAAGGAGCAGGATAGGGGGGAATGGGGCGACGGGGGAGGGTGAGGAAGAGTTATGGGGGGTATGAGAAAGGAGGAGTGGGGAGAAGGGAAGACGAAGGGAGGAAGGGGCGAAAAAGGGAGGCAGGTAACACGGCAGGGTAGGTATGAAGAAAGGTCGTGGGTGAAGCTGGGTGTGAGGGTTAAAGCGCGGGGGAGGGGGGGAAAGTGGAGTAGGAACGGGGAAAAAGAAAGGAGGGGTAGAAGGGGTGAGAAGGAGAAGGGGAAGGAGGGGAAATGGGGGGTGAGGGGCCTTCTATTTTCCCGTAAACAGACCAGCCTTAAGGCTTTTAAGAAACATGGAGACTTAACTTGGGGTATTGTTAATATTTTTTAAGTATTAGGGTTTCATAACTCTCCCTTTAAGTAAATGTGCTAGCCACATATTTATAATTATTTTGAATGAGCTTGTGCTTTGACTTATATAGGCTTTACCCTTCCCGAGTGTTTTAAAGTGTTCTGTGTTACATTTGAATAAAAAAATGTTTGTGGCTATCTCTAGAGTTGTACTGAAATTTATGTGTTTTCAGGAAAGATAGTGCATTTAGTTTTATTTTAGTGAGATAACAGCATTTTGATGAATTTGATAATGAAATGCATTTTCACATTTTTGTATTTCGTTTTGAAAAATAATCTTTTGATTTTTGTTACTCCAAAACTGCAGGGAGAATACTTCTTTGCAGTATTGACTAAAGGAGTTTGAGCGTTGAACTGATATAATTTATTTTACTATGTTGATAATTTAGGTCATTTAGTCAAACTTTGAAATCTTAGTTTTACAATCACCAGTCTCTAGAGATTCAGATATTTTATGAGTTTTTGCTTGTTTGACTTTTCTTTTTGTCCGACACCAAAGAAAGAAGTTAAGCAAATCAGTTTGACAGTAGTTTAAAATAATTAATACTAAAAATTTTCTACACGTAACGTTTTTCATGTAAAGATATTTATTTTATCATGTGGCAATGATTTTAGAAAAGCATTTTTAATCATTAAATATTTGGAAACGTTAGAACACTATGTAACAAAATATATAAAAGTATTATATGTTTTATAATATCTGGTATGTAACGTTTCATAATCAGCGAAAATATAGTATTGTTTATAAAAATAGCAAGTTGCTAACTATATGAAGATATAAATAAAATTTTCAAAGACTAATTATTAAATTAACTAACACATAATCAAAATTTTTACTAAACATTAACTGCCATAATATTATTCTTGATAAATATTTACAGATAGAACTAAGATTAAAATTTCTTAGATAAATCTAAAATAACCTAAAATTACACATATATCGGCTAAATTAGTTTCTGATAATCATTCAATTATTTACATTTCAGTATATTTGGCATCATAATATATCAGCCTTTGTAGTATTAAATGTCGGCATTTTCTTGTACTAAAAAAAGTAAGCTTTTCATTGCACAGAAAGGGAAAATACAGAAATTAAAATTTAACATTGAAAAGATTTTTGGTGAAAGAATGGAGCTAATTTCAAAAACTCAAAATACAATGAAACCTCTTTATCAGGTCACCCATATAATATATGAGTATGCTAACTAGGTCAAAATTTTCTGGTCAGGCAAATTCATATTTTAACAGCCTGCAACATATACTATATGTAAATTCACTTCTGAGGTACTCACTGTAGTTATCAGTTCATATTCAAAACAAATTACACATTTTTGTTCAAAAATTCTCAAAAGCAAAATTCCTACCCTCTTAAAAATCCTCTAAATCAGTCAGTATCACGTCGGCTGCGAAACTATCTCCGAGCAGCATGATTCAGTTATGAATAAGCTTGACGCAATAGCATACAACATCTGCGCTTTCGTTTGATGTTACTGTGATACTCAATAAGCCACTTTTTGTTTTTATAAGCACATAAACTAATTGTAACTGTTGTATTTTTTTTCTTTGAATTTTGAGATGCAGGAGTTCGAGGCATGCAGAATCACATTTGCGACTGCACTCCGAATCATTTACAGCTGGTCGAGAGAATTAAAATCCGTTGAATGGGTAAAAACTGACAAAAGATTAATAGATCAGAATAATCACCTGCGGAAACTTATTACTTACATTTACTGTCAACAGTCTGCGTACAAGCGACCTATCTTCCATCTTCATGCAACGATCATTAAGTACGTGAGTGGAGTCTTTCGGAATTAGTACAAATTTATTGGTTCCTCCAGAATCTTACATTCAAATGGTAAAAGCAACAGTGTCCTGATTGTTACATAAAATAATACATTCATAACTTAAAAATGACACAAATAGTGTGTGCCAAAAATCTGTGTACACTAGCAAAACCGTTTACCATAATTGATTACCATAACTAATAATTAACATTATGTAAGGTTTCCTATTCGTTTTATAACTTTTCGCATGCAAGATTGTCTCTTATAAGGTTATTTTGTTTCACTCTTCTACCATGACAGATCTGAGCACTTCTTTGGATGTTATTTCATGCTCTGCAGTTCTGCATTCGAGTAAATCCCGCAAATGCTCTATTTGGTTTAGATCTGGGGGCTGGGATTGCGCATGGAGTTGGTTTAGCACATGGTAGAACAGCCATAACCTTGTGCTTAAGGTCATTGTTCTGCTAAAAAAGATATGTACATTCACCCCGAACATTTCGGCAGTTGATCTTTAGTTTTCGTTTTCAGTATGTTTAGCTAATCAATTTTATTCATTGTTCAATCAATAAACTCCAAATTATCAAATTCAAACGCTTTCCATGCGTCCCAAAACTATAATGCGTTGTACAGGGTTTTCTCCAGACATATTTTCGTCCTTTGATGCCAAAAATACATATTTTACTTTCATCCAAAAATAGCATCTTTTTCAACAATCATGTATCTTGCTTGGCTGTTCTTTGACAAGACCATTCTCTTAGCTCTGCCTATTATAAAGATAAATAAGTTTATCTGTGAACCACGGCCATGAAAGTCATGCTTTTTCCATTCTCTTCGATTTGCGGTTAAACTCGCATTTCATGGAATCTCTCGGCACACTTCACATTACTCTTTTGAAGCTGACAGGTTCCCGAGGTGGCCAGACCTTGGTTTAGAAGTTAAAAGTCTAGTTGATTTGTAGTTCGTGATCACTTTTTGAAACGACGAACATCTCTTGTTAACATTTTCAGCAATTGTCCTAAGAGATTTCTCCCTTTTCCAAAGATCAACGATGATGTTTTCTCAGAAATATTGATCTCTTTTTTTTTTTTTTTTTTTTTTTTTTTTTTTTTAACCTGCCATAGAATCACAAAAGCCTTCAAAATCTCAAATTTAATTTAAATCGTAGAAGAAGCTTACAATTACTTAAAAAGACATGTCTCGGTGTAATTATCTCGCAAAAAAACTTTTGTTTTTGGCGGAGGGTAATTCGACAATTATAAGGCTTATAAGACGGTAGTTCTTGTTTTAATTGATTTTTTAATATTTTTCGTCGTTTGATTTTCAGGTAAGCTTGAAGAAGCACTGAAAGCTGTGTTGATTTTCTCAAGTGAGATTTCAATAGTGATCTTAGCATAAGCACGAAAGATGAATGCCTGTATGCAGACTTTCGGTGGCAAGTGCATAGCTCTAAACAGAGCTTCGGTAAAATCGGTGGACCTAATAAAATATTTAAAAAAATCTATGAAAACATTTTTACGATGCTCAAACATAAAGCGTGTCAAATGCTTCGGCAGCACTGGCTATTTGGTTATTTGTGCAGAGAGACTGGCCAATGTTTTATGACAAGATCTGCAGATAGAGGTGTGATTCAGAATTCCGCAGTAATGACTGACGTAACTTTGATGGGATCTTCACCAATTTTTATGTTTTGATGATAGCCAACTTTCACAATCGACGAGTTAACAAGTAAGTATCGTATTTGTTAATCTAGAAGAAAAGTAAGCTACACATTACCCTAACGTAGTAGGATCTTATCTTTTCGAAGCTCCATTACAGCCCATATTGTGACGCCATCGTTTGGCCACTAAAGGCCATATTACAAGTTTGGAATCATAACTGTTCCTATTTTCCTGCTTTCTCTCATCAGTAAAAACGACCAGTTACCATGAATAATTATAAATGCAAAGAAATTGAACAGGGAACAGGGTTGAACAGGGAAAGAAGTTGTTCCTACTGTCAAGGTCTTAGAACCTTGGATTCATAATTTTTTTCTGAAATAATATATATATATATATACCAATCTAGACATCTAAAAATACATAAAAGTAAAAATAATTAGTTGCTAATATTCTGTAGATAGGCATTAAAACAAGTGCAAAAAATAACGAAATTTGGCGACATAGCGCTGTTTGACGAATTTCAAAATTTTTAAAATGCAGGTTTCAAAATTTGGAACGTCTTCAAGCTAATCGATTCATGCGTGTGTGTGTGATTATGGCAAAGCACACGAGGGCTATCTGCCTAAAGGGAGGGATGCCTTCGTGGAGGACTTTCTAAGGGAAACTGGCTCGTATATACACGTTACACATGGGGAAAACCACGAAAACGCCCATGCAGCCAGCCCGTTCGCGGGATTCGAACCTCGGACCGAACTACCAGTGTTCAGCGACTTTACCGCTCGGCCGCTGGTGGGCCCCTAATCGATTCATGCAAATAAACTTTTTAAATAAAAGGTTTAACAGACATGAGGGGAAATTTAATCTTTGAATAATTAGGTCAGAATACAAACAATATAGAAATAATTTGACCCTGGAAACATCTGCCATATTTTAGCCGCTGAGCGCATTACAAACACTACTGCTTTACGTAATGATAAATATGCTGATTACGATTTGAATATACCAAAACAGATGAAGAGTAGTAAAAGAATGATCAAAGTAAAAATAAGTCTAATTTTCTCATCTTGCGACCACGGATCCCTTTCTGCCATATTAACACAATTTTCTTTAAAAGAGATTTTATGGCATTCTTGAATAATTTAAATTCTCGAGAAATACTATTCGGTGGGACTGACGGTCTAAAAAGGATTTCTTTTCTTTCTTAAGAGACCCCATTTAAATAACAATAGTGTAGTATTTCCAATGATATCTAGTTATAGTCATTAATGCGATTTAATTTATAATATATCTACTTCATAATTTTAGGAATATTGGCAACTTTTTTGCTGTTATTAAAAGTTAATTCTAACATGTGTAACTAATACAGAAACGTTTTGATTGTTATGACGCTTAACAATTTATTTATTTTCTTTAATTTTGTAATATTTTTAATGGAAAACTCTTTTTTGTAGCATTAAACTATAGCATTTTGTTTCCCGTTTAGAAGATATTTTCTCTTCAGTTTATTTATAGATCCTCAAAGTTGTCATTGTCTGATAAATCCTGTAGTAAAAATTTAAAAATAATCAATCGGTACAATTTTATTTAATAAGCATAAAAATCACTTTTAAAAGAACACAGACTTTCGGATTAAAAGAACAACTTCTATAAGAAAGTTATTGTTGGAACTATTCATAAATTAAGTTGGAACTACTATTACAATTTTTAGAGCTCCTACCATTTTATCCACAGTTAAACTATATATTCTTCTATGAAATCTACAATAATTAATTTTCTTTTTATCTGTATTTTTAATTTAATATGTACTTTTAAGTTTTTAATATGAATTACATTAAAATTTAAAATTCCTACTAAGCATTTTTCTATAGTTTTATCTCGATCGTATGAAGAACTAACTTTTAATAAAATTTTATAATACTTCTTTTATCTTCAATTTCCTAGAAGATAATCGAAAACAAAGTTAATGTTTAAATTTTAATTTATAGTCTTAGTAGCGGTGGCATATAGTTTTTATCTTAAACTTATGCCTTTTAATTTCTTTACTTTAGGAGTTATATATATTACTTTTCTAACATGCATTTACCTACAATACTGTATAATATTTTGTATTGAAATGTTTAAAATCATCATATTATATAATACACACCAGGGCCGGATTTACGTACAAGCTATAGCTGAGGGCCCCCCACTTCTTGAGGGCCCCCAAAAATTAAAATATAGTATAAATAGTAATAAAATATATTATATCAGATAGCTTGCGGCCTTATCAAGTCTAAATCTGGCTCTGATACTCACATTCTAGTTTCTATCTTACCTGCCAAGGCCAACGTCCAAAGTAAGCGCTCTGGCCACCGACGATTCTTCCTCTAGGGCCAATTGTACGAACGCCACAGTCTAAAGAATAAGTAAAATAGCTAAATATAGAATATTAATTTAAATTAACATCAATGTTTTCTCCCTTAATAATGAAAAATTATTTAACTTCTGCCAACGAATGTGATGCAGAAAGTACACAGTTCTCTCAAAGCATTTAAATACACCACGATGTTCAATTATTTAAAGTAGTGTTAGCGTTATTTTGAAATATGTTGAATGTGTTTATTAATTTATAATATTACCTACTTTTGCAGAATTTCAAATAAAATGTTAGAAATGTTTAACGCAGAAGATAATTCGAATTTTTTTATATATTTCCAAGAAAATAAATACCAAAATATAAATTTTATGAACAAAAATATTAATTAAGAATACATCCGTAATAATACACTCACTGCTAAAAATATTATACAAAGAAATACATTGAAAACAAAACTCTATACTGCAAGAAAAAATTTGGATATAAATTATAAATACTCAAATTTATTTCCTTGACATGCAACATACTATTTATACATCAAACGAATCACAGTCAATAGTATGAAAAAGGAATAAGAATAATAACATTTACTAAAATATAAATACTAAAAATAAAGAGTTACATTCGAACTTTTTAATGGAAAGTCCGGTTTAACGGACGCTTTGTGATCCATGGACATTTGAATAACGGCATCAGTATACGATAACAGATAGTAGAAAATGTCAATAACGTTTCTAAGAAGCTTGATATTTATAGATTCATGAGAGAAGAAAATGATGAATAAAAGAAACGAATCGTTCGAAGAAAGATTTATTTCAAAGAAAAAGTAAGAAATGCAGGACTTCAATATACCTAAAAAATTTCAAAAGAAAAAACAGACTTTAGTTTGCATAAATCATGTTGCCACAATGAACAAAAAAAAAAAAGCTTATGTACACTGCTGGGGATTAAAATTTCTGTGCCTTGCTGAAAAGCAATGTTTAGAACAATATTTGTTTTCTAAACAAAGTACATTATAATGGAAGGATTAAATTATTCGAATTTCAGATAATTCTAAACTGCAAATTATGAAAAATGATTGATACTAACATCAGCGTTTGATAAAAATAGCAGCTCAATTATTTAAAATGTACGGTTGGTCATGGTTTGGATGTCTCACTGACTTGGATGCCAGTTACGGATACTTCAGTCCATACAGCTTCTGTTCTAAGCTAAAGTTCGTCTACTGTACCTGGTGATGGGTGTTATCGCGCCAGTCTTTCTGCAACCATTGATCAAATGTTCACAACTGGTGAGGATCAGTCGCCTGTGTAATTGGAGAGACACAGGACAGTGTAGCAATATGCGGTCTCTCACGTTCTCATTGAAAGGTGGTTCGATGAATGTCCTAAGATATGGCGCAAACCATGGGCATTAAAAACTTGCCAAATATGAGAAATGGAAATGAACGGTATATGTACTCAATAACATCCAGTCCCATCAATCCATGTCGATGTGAAGATGAAGAATTCAAGTGCTCAAAGTTCCCCTCAGTACCTTCACACACGAGTATTGTTATCATGATACTGTATACAAAAGTTGAATTCATCAAAAAAAGACGACTTACGCGACTTTTGCATCCATGTGTTGGTTGAACGCAACATTACAAGAGCTGTTTTCCTGGGATGTACTGTCAATGGGAACTGAAGCTATGGTCGATTGGCTTATGTTCTTGTAGCATTATAGATGTCATCGTACTATATATGCAGGTATTTGTTGCTACTCTACACACCCACTTTCTTGACAGATTTTTATGTGATATGTACGATCCCTAGAAACGATGCATACAAAATGCCTACCATCTCGTGATTTGTAAGCGAAGGCTGTTTAGATTTCCCAAGTCATTTTGTCTGGTCATCCTAGAACTTTCCATTGCAAATGCTATTACAGTAATTGGATCTTGTTCAACATGAGAGGTAGTTGCACGCTGAGATAATCCCCAGCCTCGGTAGACTACGATCGTTCCGCGATCTAACTGTTAGATTTCTTGATTGGTACGCATAATAAGAAAGCAATTAATAAACCCTATTTTATAATGAAACATCGGCATTTACCTGTAAATTGTGTTGGTCATCATTTTACCTAGAAATGCTAATCATTCGTAAACCCCATGATTTTCTACTTTTCATGCATATTTTAGATTTGTTGTGCTCTTTCTTAATGGTATAAAATGGTAAAAATTTCAATAACAAGTGTATTATGTACATGCAGACAAATCTGCGTTAAAAGTCACCCCCGTTCAGTGCCGGATTTCTGCGTAGGCCTACAATGCCCCGGCCTAGGGGCCCCGGTGGCGGGATCATTACATAACATCAAAAGCTTGGCTTGCATTATCAAAACGCTTTTTCGAAAATAATATTATAATAAATATTTTTACTACATTTCGCCAAAACAGGGCGCCCATCTTATAACTTACAGCCCTGCGCACAATAAAGCTAGAATTAGGACTCTTAGTTTTCCCTCTCTCTTGTAAGCTGTGTTCTTCGCCAAAATAGCTTCGAGATGGTGGGGGAGCGCACAATTGTCAAGTGCTTAAGGGACCAGGGTCTTAAGTACGGGCCTTCCCACGCTCAACGGATACTTCTCGTTAATGAGTAAAACAGGTGAAACGAATACAATTTAACCTACAATTTACTGTACACTCACATAATGGCCAGCAAAAAGGGTTGACAAACAACTGTTCTTACAGATAGAACCTAGGACAAAATAAGAAAAGGAAGAAATTGAACAGAGAATCTTTGATCAATTTATTTTCAAAAGAAATTATGTAATTCAAAGATATAAAAGTAGCAATTATAAGGCATTAATATAACCTAAGGTCTTACAAAATAGAAATGGTACACTAATACAAGAATGCATTTGCGGAAACACAAAATTGAATTCTCAGAATTTTCTTGAGTTCCATAAAAAGCAATGTACGTTAGGAAAATAGCTCTTAGTTCAGGGATCATATCATTTTGCATTATTTCATTGAAACAGTTTGTCTTAGAACATGTCACTAAATACAGAGTTTCATTCACAGTTTTGATTGACTGTTCATTCCGGCATCAAAAATCAAAATATCAAGATTGAAAGAAAAACAACCAAAGCAATTTTTACAAGTGTGTATGTATGTCAAAGCCTCGAGGGCTATCTGCCTAAGGGAAGGGATGTCTTCGTGGAGGACTTTCAAAGGGAAACTGGCTCGTATACACGTTACACATGTGGAAAACCACGAAAACGCCCATGCAGCCAGCCCGTTCGCGGGATTCGAACCTCGGACCGAACGCAATTTTTACAAAATGTTCAACTTTTTTTAATCGGAATGACTCAAGCTGGAAAATTTAAAAATAATTGAAAGAAGAAATAGGACAATTTTAGATAATAGGGGCAAGAAAAATGAAAAACCAAGAAGAGTGATATGACAAGTACACATTTATTAAATTGTTCCCGATTATCCTTTGCCTCTGCAATGGAAAATTTATTTCTGTATGTCGAAATCTACAAATCATTCTAAGATATTGACTTCAAAAACAGCGGAATGGCTAGTTCAAAACATTTCAAGATAAAAATAACATGTCATATAGATCAATATTCAGTGAAACTATATTTAACAGGCACTCGGTCGTTAAGAGAATAAGTTTAAAATATTTAAAGGTTATATGCTGTAAGCTTATTAATTATGTTGCTTATTAACTCCAAATGGATTCGGAAATGTGTATTCTAAATCCGTTTGCAATCTGAACTATATATATATATATTAACTATACAGGGTGATTCTAAATTGTTTTTACAAATTAAAAGGGTGATACTACTCATCCAGATGAGCAATAATTAGCGTAGAACATAGGGCCGCATTCAACTCCACGACTAAACGAGACTAAAAGTTAGTTTAGTGAAAAACTCACAGAGAGTGCACAAAACGGATAAAACCGAAGACTTGGCGTTCAAGTTTTAATTCGAGCTCAGACTTTGATGGCAAACACTGAAATGCACATCTTTGGTTCACAAGGTCTCAACCTCGCAAAAGATTGCAACAAGTTAATTATCTAATCAAGGGCTGAATATTATCAACTAAATTCAACTCAGGAGGTAGGTTTTATACTACCCAAGGTAGCAGTTTTTTCCTCTTCGCCATCTTCTATCTTCTCCTCCTGCACTTACTGTACTGCGCTCATTCTACTTGAAATGCCCTTCTATGGGATACGAAAATCTGACAACCGGAACACAGCATGAACTTTTCATTCTAATCTCGGCATACAGCGAAAGTTGTAGTTAACTGATAATATTCAGCCCTCGATTAGATAATTAACTTGTTGCAATCGCTTACAAGGCTGAGACTTTGAGAAATAGATGTGTGAGAAGATGTGCGTTTGAGTGACTGCCATCAAAGTCTGAGCTTGAATTAACACCCGAACGCCAAGTTTTCGGTTTTATCTGTTTTGTGCACTCACTGAGTTTTCCGCTAAACTGATTGCGAAACTTTTGGTCTCATTCATTCGTTCTCCTAACACTGTTGAAAATTCAGGTTGTAATTCTAATATTCCTCTTTTCTGCCTCTCAGAGTGGAATGCGACCCTGCGTTTTATGGTAATTATTGTTTATCTGGGTGAGTACTATCACCCCTCTTAATCTGTAAAAGCAATTTAGAATCACCCTATATATAAATATAGTTTTGTGTATTGTTCTGCTATGGAGATCGTATTCAGAAATGTATGAACGTGTCTGTGTATGTATGCGCATATATGTGTATATGTATACTTATATATAAGCATACATACATTTCTGAGTCCTATCCTGATAACAGAACAGTACCCAATTTTGCAAAAGAATATTATGTGTTTAAATAACTAAATAATGCCTTAACGACTTCAAACGAAGATTGACAAGATGTTATGCTGAAATATAAATGCGATCTTAGAAAGCCGAATCTGATATACTAGGTAAAAACACCAAATATTTTTTTAAGTATAGAGGTTATAGTAAACTTGGTTTACAGTGGCAAGTCAAGAAGCTGTACGTGCGTGGTATACCAAATTAAAGCAAAAGACTTTGACCGAATTTGACTCAAAAACATCAAAGTTTTAAGTTTAGGTTTATTTGATTACGACAAAGCACTCGATGGCTATCTGTTTCAGAGTGGGACTTTATAAAGGGAACTGTTCACTAAACTTTATAAAGGGAAGTTTTACTGTTCATTGACAGCACTGTATCATATGAGGATACAATTCACACGAAGCATGCACAAATATTTATTAAACTCTGCATCGAGTGTCGTTGCATTAGATCAAGAAAAAATTTGAGCTTCCGAGATTCTAACATTCAGCTTTATGTTATCAGAAACTTTTTGCATATGCAAAAAGCCAGGAATCAACAAAGCCCGTAATCTTTCTGACACCAATCTCTCTAAACGCCTAAACAAATGCAAGTTTTTAAAATATCTTCCTATTCAGGTATTTTATAGAGTTATGCTATGTGATCTTCATTTTTCTGAGTGGTTGACCTATACGGTACAATATCGTATGGAATATTTTTCGCCATCTTCCTAAAATACTATGGCTAGAAACCTGCCGTCAAACTAATTCTGTGGGAAAACGTTTCAAGAAAAGTTTGCCTATTTCATTCCAACTTCTTGAATAAGATACCGAATCAGTTGCTTATGTAATAGCTTAGAATTAGCTTAGACTAAACGTAAAAATCAGTTTAAGGAAAATCAGTGATAACGATAATAAATAATCAAATTAAGGAAACTTTTAATGGGGAAATTAAATTGGCTGAATGCATCGCAGTTGATGAATAGTCGTGGACAGAAAATGAATTAAAAAACAGCGGATTTCATAAAGAAAAAATAATATAAGAAAGAAGATGTTGAAGGAAGCTAAGAAAATAGGAGACAAGTAATATTCTACATTAACAATGATGGACTGAAGTATGTTAAGGTACTTAATAATTATTTATTGAATCACAAGGACTCTTTTTCGGTCCATTAGAATCAACAAATTGAAAATACATCACAAAATGAGAGTAGCAACAAAACCTTACGAGCAAAATCAAATTATTTTGAGAATATTTTATTAATTTATGCAGCAATCTCGATGTCTGCACAATCAATACCTCATTTGTCTCTCTGCAGTTCCTGTTAAAGTCAAAAAGTAATTTTAGCACTTTTATTTTATTTATTCATTTTTCAAATTTGTTCTCTGAAAGTTATTTAGTTATAAAATCATTACTTTTATTTAACTTTTCTTGTTGTATTTGGTTGTGCTAAAATCTACATGTGCGACAAATTCATTTCAGACATTGCATTCCTCTTTGGCAAGACAGTCCATAAAAACTGACAGTTGTCTCCGTCTTGTGAGAGCCCAGTGGCGAGGAGTTGCATAAAGAAACGTGCAGTTATGTAGCCCTTTTAATTCCTTTTTATTCTTGTCAACAAACCTTTTATATGTCAATGCAGATAAAATGACGTAGGATGCGCCAGTTCTTAAAAGTAACAAAAAAAGCCAATTAAAGTTTTAAAACATAGTTCAAGAAAGGTGCAACAGCAGGACGTAAATGAAAGAAAAATTGCTGCATGTCTAAGAGGGAAGTTTAAAAAAGTCTGGATTTTACTTCCTTTTAGTTTGTTGTTTTTGTGCTTTAATTTCAGCGCCTGTGTAATTATCGTTATGGTTTGGTTTGGTTTATTTAATTATGGCAAAGCACACTAGGGCTATCTGTCTAAGGGGAGGGATGCCTTCGTGGAGGACTTTCTAAGGGAAACTGGTTCGTATGCAAGTTACACATGGGAAAAACCATGAAAACGCGCATGCAGCCAGCCCATTCGTGGGATTCGAACCTCGGACCGAGCTATCAGTGTTCAGAGACTTTAGCGCTCGGCCGCTAGTGGGCCAATTATCGTTATGTAAAAAATCGTTTAACGTGGATTAAGTTAGAAATGGCCAGTTTAGAGAGATTTGTTATAAGCAGTTACAGTTAAGATGGAAAGAGGAAATAGTCAAATTAAAATGAAACGTTAAGGAATTATTATAAATTAATATTAGTTAACTAAATTACTTTACATACTTTTTATCTTACATATATATCCATACATAAATTTACAACAAACACAATATAAAGATGTACTTTTTGGTAGGTCGAGGAATAGATCAAGCACTCAAGATCATTGCAAAAGCTCACTATTGCAACTCACATTATAAGTATTGGGACGGAAAAATTAGCTACCTTAATAGGAAAGAATCAGTGAAACTGGTAAACGGTTAAGATGCATTTCGTTGGACGTAAACGTTGTTAAAGGTTTTCATATCAAGATATCCTCAAGAATTTCAAGATGCCAGATTTTATTAAATTAATGTAACAGATTTCAGTGATGGATATAAGCAGAATAAAATTCTATGCTGCTGCTGATGTGCAATTTATAAATCACGCCGTTTTCACACATCTAAAACTATCAGTGAGCAAAACAAAGATATAAAAGGATTTCATGATTTTATTAATTTTGATCAGATTTTGTTTTTGTTTTATGTGATTACGGCACAAGCCTCGAGGACTATCTGCCTAAGGGGAGGGATACCTTGGTGGAGGACTTTCTAAGAGAAATTGGCTCGTATACACGTTACACATGGGAAAAACCACGAAAATGCCCATGCAGCCAGCCCTTTCGCTTGATTCGGACCTCGGACCGAACTACCAGTGTTCAGCGACTTTAACGCTCGGCCGCTGGTGGGCCTAATTTTGATCAGAATTCATAATTATATATTTATGTTCAAATTACATATTGCATTTAAACGAAATATTCCATTCTTAAGCTTTCAGGAAATATTTTAAAGCTCTTTATGTAACTATAAATATTAAATCCAAATGTGTAAAAATTCTCTGAAAATTAAGACCCCGATATAGTTTCTTTTTTTCAGTTTTATTTGATTTCGCAAAACACATGAGAGCTATCTCCCTAAGTGGAGAGATGGCGTACCAGTGGCCGAGTGATAAAATCGCTAAACATTGGTACTTTCTACCTGGGTTCATTTTCAAGCAAACGGGCTGGCTGCATGTGTGTTTTCGTAGTTTTTTCCCGAGTGTAACGTATGTAAGAGCCAGGTTTCCTTAGAAAATCCTCCGCGAAGCCATCCGTCCCCTTAAGATAGAACTAGTGTGCTTTGCCATAATGCGCCAAATTCTAAGAGGAAAGCTGCTTTCGCGGAAGATTTTCTATAAAGAATCTGGGACATATTCACGTTAAATTTGGGAAGACCGTGTGAACGGCCTTGCAGCCAACCTCTTCCTTGAGATTAAAATCTGGATCGAGCTATTAACGAATTTGAGGAAAAAAAACATAAGTGAACAAACATAGTATAAAGAATTCCTTCGTTTAGCATTCAATTTCGAAAGAAATGATCCAATAAGAAATCATTCGATCTTAAGCTGAGTTTTATAATCAATATTAACTTCAGCTTTCTGCAGTATGGCATATTAAATTAGAATGGCTGTTTTTAATTAATATTAGTAAGTCTCAGAATATTTTCAATTTTTTTGTATCTTGAAGTATCTAACTCAAAATACCGTAAATAAAGTACTTCCGTTTTCATTAACTATTAAATTAAGCATGACCCTTCATAAAAACATTTAAATCTCAATTCCTAAAAATGATGTTTTAAGCTATAAAATTGTAATATAGAATAAGTTGTTCTTAAGAGCTATTTTATTTTTGTATACAGGTAAATAAGAGTATTTTTAACATTCACACATTTTGTAATAAAGACGCTTTTATGATTATTTCTGATAACACGTGAGCACCTGTATCTTTCTTTATTACAGTTCTACATACCTTAAAATTAAAAACTGAGGAAAATATTCAAATCCTTGTAGTTACGAGAAAACTTACAGAATCGTGCATAGAGCATTTGAGTAACCTGGAGGTAACAACAACCTTCTCAAGTTGTAGTTTGAAACAATGTATAACTATAAACAAGAATGGTGGAAATTGAGTATAGTTAGTGTAAGAGTTTCCTTTACTTTACAAAGAATGCAAATATTTTTTACATCAAACTTACTTTTTTTAACTATAAATTTGGCTGCTTTTATTGCATGTTGAAAATGCAGCGTATAGCTTAGTTTGTCAAATATGCATATGGAAATACACATAAACTACACGTGACTAGCCTTAAAAACCTACCATTAGAGCTTATTTAAACTGATATACTGCCAAAAGGCATCGTCTATGCATGAAAACATTATTTCAAAGTAATCTTTAAGAATATCACACATTTTACAGAGTATAATTTGCCTGACAACTCCTCATACTGACGTAACAGTAATCGAATTTTAGATAAGCATTCGTCATGGTGACTTAAGTCAATATTTATTTCTTAATTTAGACAACAAAAATATGAAACACTGATTAATTTCAATTGGTGTAGACATTTATAAGCATATGAAAAGTTTTACCGAAGATAATTTCTTAGATTCCTAACATTTTATTAAATAATAGCAACTTTAGTAAAGTATTGATGCATTAAAGATATACCAAATATCTATCATTGTATTCCCATGAAAGTTTAAACGTAAACATAAGAAAAAGCTTTAAGCTTACATTTAAAGCTTACTGTTACATTACACTTGCATTACCTAAGAACACTTACCAGAATGGAACAGACAATGGGTAATGTTTTCACTGTGGATCTATTTTACATGTGTGAAACTTTATGACTTCTAGATAATAGGCAATTTTTTTATTACGCACTATAATTTTTCTGTTTTATAATGACTAGTAGTATGTAAAATCATATTTACCTTTACGATAATCCAAAGGAGGGTTCCTGATAGGCTTTTGCGTAGTGCTTGTAGTTTGTCCAATAGTAGATAAATTTCCCTGTGAATATAATGATGCTACTGTTGTTATTCCAGGTGTTTCGGACGTTTTACTAACTGATGTAATTAGTGGTCTCAAGCTTGTAGGCCTAGCCGACGATGTAGTTGACCATTGGGGTATTGGTACAGATATAGTAGTCATTTCATCTTTAGTCGATGAAGGTGTAACATTAGAATCGCTTAAAATGGTAAATGATGTCGTTCCAGGATGGAGAACGATTTGATTTGCAACATTGCTTTGAGCACTTTGAATCAAAATTGGTGGGCGGAAAGGCGAAAGCGGTCTGTTCATTTGGAAAGGATCAACTGGAAATGCAACACCCATCGGCCAGGCTCCTTGCGAAGAAGGGAAATTCGTGCCGGGACGAAATGGAAATGGAGAAAGTATGATAGGTCGCTGAGGTACAGGACGCCTAGTAGGACCAATAGAAGTCCAAGTCACTAGCTGACCACTTAGAGTACTAGCTGAAGTGGACGTTGGGGGCTTCCTTGTGGTAATAAACGGTCGCCTTGTTGTAAATGCTGGACGACTAGCTGCAGTTGGCACTGTTGTCGTAGTCGTCGTTTTCTTTGTTGTTTCCAGTCTCTCATCATCTCTGATGTTGTTGGAATCATCAAAAATGAAAGGATTATTTTGGAAATCATCGTGTAGCAAGGGATCGTAGTCGTACTGGCAGCATGTACCAAATATGAAGCCATCAACGCAAGTACCCATGAGTGTACCATTGTGGTTGATGCAATCCCATTTGAAGGTACAAATTCCTTTTCTTCCATTTGGATCAGTGCAGGATTTTTTTGAAATTTTAAGAGCTTTACCTATAATGTAATATAGCCAAGCATAAGTAGGTATAAAGTGAGATTCATAAGAAAAATATTTGCTTACCTAGGACTTCGAACAAAGCACTTTAATATAAAATCTACGTTACTGATGATTATGCCCGATTATTAATGCATTAATACTGAGATCCATAAAATCATTTTACAACAATGTTAGAACCTATATACTTGCAATAAATTTCGCATTCTTCATGTGGGTTTTATTGCAAAGCGATTAAAAAAGATTAGCAAATCTTCTTTGAAATTTGTAAACCTGTCTTGCTGAATTTTATTGCTTCTTATAATACTCAATTAATTTATTGACATCCTCATCTGGTATTTACTATTGTTGAAATTTGGGGGAAAAGAAAAAAAAATTATGTTTTTTCTAGCCAAGAGAAAAGCTTAGTTTGAACACTTCAGTAACAAACGTACGTAAGCTAACAGACTTCAGCGGATCAGTCAAAAGTCATGCGCAGGACTGCTTGACTGTGACTTCTGTTTCCTTTGTCAACAGAAAATACATGAAAACGCACATGAAATTTTTATGGAAACTAGTATTTTTTATTGTTTATTCCAACGTAGTGGACTTGTACTATTGCATCATTCGTTCAAACTAAGGACATAATGAGTGAATGGAAGAACTGCTAAATACTGGTACACAGCTTCTTAAAATGACTTTATATCGTAATACTGAAATATATTTAAATACTCTATCGTATGCATTTTAATATGAAATAATAATCGTGATTCCATAATAATGTATAGTGCAAAATATATTATGATTTTTTTTAAATTAATAAGTAATAATTATTTGATATTCAGTTGTTATTCAGATCTGTATTATAATTTAATTTAATTTTCTTTCAAACAATATATAAAAAACATCCATTAATTGTAAGTATACAATTTTATTACAGCAAAGTTAATAGTTAATATGGGTATGTGCATCGGCATGAATAACTAATTAAATAAACAAAGTGCCAACAATGCTATTTACATTTGCGACGCAATGCTTTTGTGAAGGAATTTTGTGAAAGAAATTGACTCATATTTACTTACATAACTAACGTGAAAGATATGGAAAATATCCATGCAGTCGCCCTATTACAATAACTGAGATTCGACCACGAGATAAAAGTTCGTTATTTGGATTTGGTCAGACAGTAATTAGGAAACCAGCATTGTCTCTTCTTGGAAGGTTTTTCTAAGTGAAACTGCCTTATATCTAAAAAATCGATACATCCACAAATTAAAAATAGTCATTAGCAAAACTTGCTAAATACGTAATACGGGGAAAACTACCGGTAATTAGTAACCATATCTTCTTAGCAACTGCAAGTTCGAAGAAACTCGTTCTGACTATTTTTTGCTTACAATTTTTGAAATTAGGTTTCATTACTTGAATTGCAAAGCATACGAGGATTATCTGCCTAAAATGAGTGATATCTGTGGAAACTGGCTCGTATTTAACTTACACATGGGAAAAATCATGGAACCCAACCAATCAATCCGCTCATCTGGTATCAAATTATTTTCAAACTTTCCAGTGTTCGGCGGTTTTAATCCCTCTGCCATTTAAAATGCATTTGGAATAGCATTTAAATCCAATCCGAGAATGGCATTGACTTATAAATCAAGAATTCAGTACCGAAAATGCTTGTATGTACCGAAAATGCTTCAGTACCGAAAATGAAAGATTCTAAGAAGTAATTTGTGGTACCACTATCTTCGCGAACAATAAGAGATAACCAGAATCAGTGTCACCATTGTTGTTCTTGCAGTATGTAAACTGTTTAACATGTTAAACATGAGAATAAAGTTATAAAAATGAGGAAATATCAATGTAATTTGCTTTGATTTCCTAATTACTCAAATTATGACCCATTTCAAACATTGTAGTACTTTTCCTACTACTGCAAGATTGTTGAGTACTCCTCTAAAAACGGTTTTTCAAACATTTTATTCATATATCTTTAGATAATATCATAACTTTGATTTTGTCGTTTTCTAGATACAGCTTTAGCGTTGGAAACATGATAGCCAAGCCAAATTCCGTAAAATTCAGTGAAGGTATGATTTCACGACTGGCTTTGATGGCAAGAATTGAAGAATTATTGTAGTTAAATGAGCCCGCATATTATTTCGCTTGAGAAAAATTTCATAAGTGCTAAACAAGGCTAGAAGAATAAATTGAGTACATTAGATGAAATTCAAAATACATTTATGACATTCTGCACTGCTGTCAGACCTTTCTGCATGAACTCTTTTCTTACTACATTTTGGTTATCAAAATCTTCAATCAAATTGTTTTCATTCGTGTTTTTTTTAAAATATCAACCAAACTTATTTCGGCAGTCAACAGCCCCTGAAAAACTTTCGAACGACTTCCGGGGATTAATCTGCATTGAAACAAGATATTAATGTGATATAATGTTCCTTATATCTCCTTCACATTTTTTGCAAAGTGCGATTTGTTACTATTTTTCAATGATAACAACTGAAAGCACACTAAAACTTTTGGGTGCGTATTTCGATACTTGCTTTCTGGAAGTTTTAGGAACACTACTGCAAAACGCTGAGTAATAAATCTTTTATACATAGCCTTATATAAATCATCTTCAGAGAGACACTCAAAATCAATGAACATTAAATTGGAGCTGCAATTCATGACAGAATATCTAATGTTTGTTTGAACTAACTCAAAATAAAAAACTAATGTGTACCGAAATGGGTTCAAATAAAGATTATCGATTTTCAGTTTGAGTTTGAACCTTTACTGAGTTGGTAAAACACCAGTTACGAGTGATTACAACCGCTGAATACTGGAAGTACAATCTAGTTCCGATCCCAGGCGAACAATCTGTTTGAATGTCGTAGGTTTGATCTTGTTGGATGTTTCTCCATGCATAACGTGAATACAAGTGTTTTTCCTTAGAAAGTCCTCCATGAAAGCATACCTATTTTTAGGCAAATAGTCTTCGTGTGCTTTGCCATGTATAAGAAACTAACAACTGAATATAATTAATTTTGGTTTCAGTTTTCGACTGATAATGCCGGTTTAAATATTATGTAAGTATTATAACTAATTATATTTATTTCAGATACTTAATCTTAACATATGCCTGCGCATTTCGTAATATCATTATGAACTTTCCCTGTGGCTGAGTGGTTACGACCACTGAAATATTGGGCGTTGGACCTGAGTTCAGTCTCACGCTAGCGGTCTGGCTGTATGATTGGTTTTCCTCTATATGTAAACACGAATACGAGCCAGTTTTCCTCAGAAAGTCCTTAATGAAGGCGTCTCTTCCCTTAGTCAGGTAGCTCTTGTGCCATATTCAAATAATCTAGCTAGCATTATTATACAAGAATGTTCTCCATCATTGAAAAATATGAAGGTTTTACCGACGCCAATTTAAGTTTATTTCCTCTTCGGAAACCGTGTTAACAAATCTATTGACTTCCATGTAGCAGTTATAAAATAGGATTTTAGAAAGTCATAACATCTTTCCCGAGTTAAATGAAGATTTCGTGCGAAAGAAATATCAATGTTTGTATGTGAAGTCTTTTTTTTTCCATACGTTCTCAAAGAATAAGAAAAATGTTAAAAAGCTCTATATTAATAACTATGCGGTAACTGAAAAAAAATGAATAAGCATGTAGAACATTTATTTCAACAAAATAAAATGCAAATTGTAATTATTCAAAGAAAAAATATCGGAAAATTTACCTCTTCTTTCGGAATACCTGATAGTTGAATTTCGCTCTTCTGCAGAAACTATTAGGATTATGACTAGGTAGAAGTAACTGCACCATAGACCCATCTGATCCTAAGAAAGAATAAACTTTAGTTTATGATTAAATTCCTTTTTCGATCTACTGGTACAGTAAATTAGGCTGATTTCAAAATTGGATTACACCAAATATCTCGGTCAAGCATTTCGTGCAAATAGCGTTTCACTTTCAGATTTGATCGTGGAATGACAAGTAGTACCAATGGAATAGATTCTAAAACATTATTTTGCATTATGAGGTCAAATGTCACACGCAAGCATGTTCCCATAGGAGTAATAATTTGGGAATAACATAGATATAAATTTTACTAAGAATGTTTTGTCTCTATTAAATTGCTGAAAGAAAAACTATAAAAATATCTTTCACATAAATACAACACTTCCAATCACAGAACAAAGATATTTGAAGAATCAACGCTATTATGTTTGAAATAAATAACTGTAGTTGCTATGATGATTTACCGAGGCACGAAATTAAGAATATAAAAGCGTACTATAAACTGTACTTATTTTTTTCTAAGCAAACAGTAAAATCCATAACCATGCATACAAAAAAGCATTTAATCCTTCGTATTTCTGCAGCTAGAATATGTGTGAAAAGACATAAAAATACAGATTTCTTTATATAAGTGTTATTGCTACCATTTTAGTAGATATCACCAGATTTTTCAGAATTGGCCAAACTCTGGCAACTATGCTCATAACAACCCTTCAATCAAGGAATGACGCCTTTCTCGTGTGCTTCACTTTTTTTTTTTTTTTTTTTTTGTGTGTGTGTGTGTGTATTCCAACGAGTTTTATAAACAAATCGTGATATTTTATGCCTCAATGTTGAAATCTGCACTTGTGGAAGAAACTGAGCTAAAATTTCTTCAGGAACACTGAATTTTGTCGCAAACATCTACCGGGAACAAACGAGGAGATGAGTTCGGTAGACAGCCGCTGCTTGCCGAGGTTTGAGCAATGATTTTAAGCGAAAACAGATCGCTGTGTACTCGAAAAGAATATCGGAAAAAATACAGAATAATTTCAAAAAGAAAGTAAGTGTTTTATTTCGGCTAAAGTGCAGAATCGCGCACTCATTTGTTTTGAGTTTTTTACAAGAGTAAGAAGAATTGGATTTTTGTCAATTTTCTTTGACTTTTTAAGTGAAAATAGGTCGATGTGTACATGGATAAAGTCAAGGGAGTGCACAATGCCATTTTTGTGCAATTGTGGGATATTTGTTTAAGTGAAAATAGGCCGATGTGTACATGGATACTGAGTATATGCAATTCTTAAAAACGCGCCAAGCAGTGGGCGATTCTGCACTTTCCCCTTTTCTTTAGTATATCAAGTAATGCTTATTAAACATTAAAATTGTTCTTTTAAATTACTAAAAGTATGTTGACTTTTCACATATTGCTAATTACAATAATTATTGACACTTCAGCAATCTTTTTGAAAGTGGCCAAAACAATCAGCTTGCACCAGGTACTATGTTTATCCAATGGCCGTCACTTGCCCTTTCAGCACTGGCCACTCCTAAGGTCAGAAGGCGGCCATTTTATTGTGGGAGACACTTAATAGGCTGCAACCGTTGCCTACCATAAAGAGAAGAACAGTTAAAAACCATCCCTTTTCCAGGATTCGAACCCGTGACCTTAGGTACTGCCGTAGGCTTCCTAACCGCTATAGCATCTGGACGACTCAATAAGTAACTTTTATATCTTTTCATACGTAAAAAAAAATGTCAAACTGCGCCAAGGCGGTTTCGTTGCTGAATAAGTACCCATTTTATTTTATACATTGCATTACATCAGTCTCTCTGTATTTAAATCTGCAGTGAGAGTATTCTGCAAAATACACTTAGTGTTTTGAAAATATCTGTATTTCTCTAAGTAAAAATTATTTAAGAGAAGTAATATTATATTTGAAAATTGTTAATGAAACAACATAATTTGGTATTACGTAAAATTGTAAAAAATGGTAAAACTGTCTACTATCAAATCATCAAAGTTGGCGGATATCCCGCCATAGTGGCTCCACTAGTTCCCGTAGATTTCTAAAGGTACAGCATATTTATTGTAGTAGTAGTGCCTCTTTAGTGCCCCTTTATTTAATAAACCATCAGTATTTCATCCGCTTTGTTTTTCGCGTTGTAAAAGTACTTTTCGTCGATTTCTACTAGTTTGTTAAGCTGTTATTTATAACATAAATTTTGCATTGATATTTTTTTTTTCACTGATTTGCATAACAATGTTTTTGAAGTTTTGAGAAGCCACTTTTAATTTGGAGCATTTTACAGTGGGTACAAAAAGTATTTGCACACATACATTTTTGTTCACAATTTATAAGAAAATGCATTAAGAAATACAAAAATTGGCATTTTAAAAATAGAATAAGCTTATTATTTAAATTAATTAAAAAAATACAATAATATTAATAAAAAAACATTTTTTGCAACAATATTAAAATAGCTTATGTCAAAAAAGTATTTGCACACTCAACTCAACTTTAGCAAATTTGCATTTTTATGCTATTATTTGACAGTCATCCCGCAGTAAATAACGTACGTAAAGACGACTATAAAAGGAGGTGTTGTCGAAACGTTATCAGTTGATTGTCGATTTCAAATTGTAATGGCACCTAAGAAATCTGAATTGCCGATTTCGTTGCGAGAAAAAATTGTGTCTCTACGTGAAAATGGCCTAAGTTATCGAGAAATAGGTAAAAAAAAGTAAATGTTTGCTTCTCTACTGTTCGGTATATTATAAAACGTTCATAAAGAAAGAGGATCTACATCAAATAACTTGCGCTCTGGACGCCCAAAGAAACTTTCACTGCGAATGAAGCGAAAATTCATAAGAGAAGCATCAAAAAGTCCATTTGTTAGTGCAATTACTTTAGCCAATGATGTCGCTTCAACATCTGGAGTTCAAATCTGTGCCCAAAGTGTTCGAAATGTCCTGCACGAATGCACACATTTATGGGAGATCACCAAAAAAAAAACCTCTCATAACTGAACGAAATAGTAGACTGAAGAGACTTGAATTCGCTAAGGAATATATCAATAAGCCAATTGATTTCTGGAAAAATGTCATATTCTCCGACGAGAGTAAGTTCAATATCTTTAAATCAGATGGCAGGAAAATTAGTTTGGAGAAAACCTTGTACTGCTTTTCATACCCAAAATGTGTTACCTACAGTTAAACATGGAGGAGGTTCTGTTATGATTTGGGGGTGCATGGCTAGCAAAGGAGTTGGTAATTTGTGTTTTCATTGATGGGAATATGATAGCTCGAACCTATATTGATGTGTTGCGAGATAATTTGCCACAAAGTGCAATAAAATTGGGTATCAGTAATTCGTACTATTTTCAGCAAGACAATGATCCCAAGCACACTGCCGGTATAACACGTATGTGGTTGCTTTATAATGTACCCAGAAAACTTGCCACTTCCACCACAATCACCAGACTTAAATCCTTTGGAAAATTTTGTGGAATTCTTTGGATTTAAAAATAAGAAAAAGGAAGATTTCAAGCAAATCTCTTAAGCCCTTATTGAAGAGTGGTCGAATACTGACCCTACTGTTACAGAAAATTTAATTAAATCAATGCCAGCAAGATTACAAGCAGTAATAGATGCTAAAGGAATGCATACTAAATATTAGTTATTTGAAATTTGCTTATATATTTTATTTCTTTTGTATTCATGCAGGTGTGCAAATACTTTTTTGATATGAGATATTTTAATTTTGTTACAAAAATGCATTGTTATTTATATTATTGTAATTTTTCTGTTTGTTTTGGATGATTAAACTTATTCTGATTTGGCAATACCAATTTTTTTATTTCTTAATGCTTCTTTTATGAATTGCAAAATGTAAATACTTTTTCTCCCACTTAATTTTGTTTAAACAAAATTCTTCAAATCGGGTTACAATGGGTATATTTGTAGCCCGATTTACTGTCTATGCGTGTTCGAAAGTTCCAAAACGGGGATAAATTTTGGATCAAAATTTCAACCATTTTTCTACATTTACAATTCGAAACCTCATAAACATTTTAGAAGCTTCTGGCATCTTGTAATGAACATGGAAAGCGGAACACAACACTAAGTATTATTTGAGTTTTGAAATTATACGCAAATAATATTACACATATAAAAATAAACATCTTTCTGCACCTACAGAATATTTAAAAATTAAATTCAAATTCTACTGGATAATAACATTAGATTTAGGTGTTATGGATTATGTTACGTGATTTCCGGATTAAAGTTTTATTCCTTTGCTACTAACTTCATGCTGTTAAAGAACGGATCACAACCGCTGAACCCTGTAGGTTCTTTCCCGGTATGGGTAACTGCAAAAGTCTTGTTTGCATGAGTGTTTCCGCGGATTCTCTATGCATATCGTAACTATAAAATATATTTTTTAGAAAGAACGAACTTTTTGTCGGGGGGGGGGGAGAGGAATTGTGCGATAAGAAATTGCTTTTTTTTGTGTGGAATATGCGAAAAACTAAAACATTCATCTTCTTCATCAGAAATAAAATTAACTGCGTACAAATAGAAAATTTGGTAGTGCGTGAGGCATTAAATATACTGCTATGGTACTATATTTATCTTTTATGTGATTCTTAACAAAAATATTTCAAAATTTACGCTGATGTACAGCTATTAGGAATATGTAGAAATACACTGTATGCAAATACGCTGTTCTTCGTAAAAAAGGTTCCAGCGCCCAAGCAGTAAATATCGTTAAGAACTAGTAGCTCGAGCCAGCGAACTTGCTGGACTGCATGAGATGTTTCATGACTTCTGTCATATGTAAAGAGAATCCTAGTCAGTTTCCCTTAAAATCCTATGAATACGAGTTAGTTTCCCTTAAAATGTTCTCCAAAATGTCACTCCTTACCTTGGGCAGATAGCCATCGTGCACTTTGCCATTTTGAATAACCTAAGCTCAGAAAATCCTCCACGAAGGCAACTCTCCCCTTCAACAGATAAGCATCCCTTGAGTGATTTGCTCCTTAAGCATTTCGCAACTGCTTTACCATAATCATGATCTTTCAATCCATTCCCTAGCTCAAAAAAGCAAATTTATTTATTTATTTATTTACCAGGAAATGTTTGAGAAAATTTTAGACGAAGTCAATATAAAGATATATTTAATTTTTGGTTTTGCAAGTCCTAGTGTAGTTTAATATGCCCAGAAATAAGAGGCTTTTGGCGTTCATTTGGGATGCCTTAGAATCATAGCTGATAAAAATAATAAATCTGGTGATCAGGTATAACGAATCAATTTATTCAGTTTGATGAATATATTCCATACTTTGCAAAATAATTATATTTATTAATAACACCGCTCATATGATAAAATGTGAGAAATCGTGCTAATAATCGTACTTCACCAGAACTTACCAATATACCAGGATTTATGAAATTTACCTTTATGAATAATCGCTAATGAAATTTAAGAGTTATGCCTAATTCTCAGTAAAAGAGAGACGTTCTGGAAATTTTGTTCATATTTATTATATTTACTTGGAAATTATGCGAAAATCGTAAGTAAGAAATTTAGTGAAATTTATTAAAGTTGCCAAGATGCTTGGGGGTTGCGCGTAATAACTGAAGATTTATATATATCACCGGATTAATCACTTGTACCGTAACATACGTACAGTGATGGACATATGCGAAGATACAGTATTTTCTCAGCAAATAAGGGAAAATGTTGTAAAATACATTATTTCTATTAAAATATAAATTAGTTATATAATCTTTAGAATACTGTAAGCATTAGTACAAAATGCTAAATCAAAATTCGGATAAATAAAGTGACAAAATTATGGTAGAACGTTTTAGCCGATCAAAATGAAGAACAAAAAGGGAAAGCACAGTGTTGAGTTTCATGGAAATTAAGTTATATTTCGTTATTCTTTACGTAGTAGTCAGTTTAGTATAAGACAAGTAATAGTTTTATTTGTCTGAGGTTAGGTTATTCAATTACGGCAAAGCCTCGAGCACTATCTGCCTAGGTTAGGAATGCCTTCGTGGAGGACTTTCCAAGGGAAACTGGCTCGTATACACGTTACCATATTGTAAAGATCAACCCACGTTACACATGGGGAAAACCACGAAAACACCCATGCAGCCAGCCCGTTCGCGGGACTCGAACCTCGGACCGAACTACCAGTGTTCAGCGCCTTTACCGCTCGGCCGCTGGTGGGCTTCCTTATTTGTCTGAAGTAGCGCTGAAAGTTTCAAAAGTTTCACTGTTTCTGCTTAAGTTCGTCAAAATTTTGAAATGGTTAATAAGTGTGTGTAAATAACGATTGAAAGAGAAAATAATCATCCATTTATATAATCAAAATAAATTTTTGAAAGAAATTTGTGAAATAATACGAGTCAATACACAATAAGAACTATGATAAAATTTTCAAATCGTCTAGTACTGTGGTAAATACACTAAAGAAGCAGCCGTCCAAAACAGCTGGCTCGTAGAGAAGAGAGAAAAGTTATGAATGTTGTTAAAATGAAACCACAAATTTCTTCAATTGCTGTTGCAACAGCATTCAAGGTAGCCTTTTAATAAAATAGTTCACCTGAAAACTATCTGCAGAATTCTTCTTCAGGCTATTTACAAATCTTGATTTATCAGAAGAAAAACATTATACGAGCAAAACTAATCGAATAGGTTGAATTGTTCTATTTGTTTCTGCAAGCACATTAATTTAGTTATCTTCATAGTATTCTAAGGATTTTAAAATTAATGTATATTTTGATATTGATTTCTGAAAGTTCTTTCCCCATTGTTTAAGAAAATGCAGTCACTTATGTCCATCACCGTATACGTGAAAAGCAACCTCAGCTATCTTTTATATTAAGCCTCTAAATGTATTCTCACTGAAAATTTTAAGACATCTTATTTTGGAAAAGCTCAAAATAATAACACATGTCAATATTCTGAAAAATATTTTAAGCTATATTTTTTAAATGCGAAGATGTTTAAGTGGAAATTTAAAGTGAAAATTATTTTATGCTTGACAGAATGACGGTTATTTGATTGGATAAAAAATCATTTTCCAAAGCCTCAGAAGCCTCAAATGAAGGTAATTTAGTTAGCTTCTTGTGCGGAATAATTCACAGTACACTTGTACCTCAAATTTGTGCACATAAATTCCGTGGTTTAAACTCGGAAGAAGACCGACTTTTGAAAGAATTCAGGCATTAGAACTGCTTAAAATGCGACTCTCGTACTTAGTTAATACTCGATTAAAAGCAGTTTATTCTTAATCATTACCTTCATTTCTCAAATTTAACATTTACTAATTGTTTCCGTTTATCTTAAATCATGGTAAAATACAGCATTTCGAAGCATTTTGGAAATATATATGTCAGTTTTAATTATGCATTTATTTCGAAAAGCAGTCAATCTAATTTATGTACAGGCGGGTGTTGTTTTGTTATAAAGTGTACGGAAGTAGCTTTAAGAATAGATGGAAAAGAATTCTCTTTAGAAAATTTCTGGCAAATTTATTCCTGCAGAAAGTTTACTGCTACTTCCTCCATTTCAAACAAAATAACCCAAGTGTATACTACAAAATTGAATTTAAGATAAAAAATAGCACGATTTGGGTATAAAAATTACAAAAATCTTTGAATACAACAAACAGAACGTATACAAATATTGCAATATTTTTTGTTGAAACTGAAGAATTACCATGCTCAATGTGGCTGTAACTAGAGTTTACACAGTGCTCAAACTTTTGGCTGCTTCTACAATGTGTTTGCTCTAATACGTAAGTTACTTATTTTCGTGAAACTTCTGGGCCAAACGTATTTCAGCAAATACCAATAGCTGGCATGCAAGTGAAATTGTGGGCTAGTCAGTGGCCGAAAATATAAGACGCTGAACATTAGTTGTTTACCAGGTCTTTTATTCGCGATAAACAAATTTCGCTATGTATAACGAAAATACAAGAAACTTTTGTGAAAATCCATCAAACAAGCTTTCTTCCTTTCAGACAGGTAACCTTAGTGTTCTTTGTCATAATCAAATAAATAAAAAATAATTCTCAGGGCTTGAGAATTTTTTAAATGATCTTGGACGAGATGAGATTTCACCTGAAGATGATATACCATTCTATAAAACACTTAACTAAATTGCCAAACTTAATCAAAGAATTATTTATCTATATCTTACGGAATTTGTAGAACTTTCAGCAGCAGTTACAGAATTGTTTTATATAACTGGTAATATGTAAAAAAAATCATGCTTTCCGATGCAAAATGTTTCAGTTAAAAGCGTTTGCATATCTTTGAAAATTTTATTTGAGCAAGATTTTCGTTGCCATAAAAATGACAGAGCGCTTGCTAATCTTGTTTGTTGCCCATAAAATGGTGAAATTTAAAGAGCTCAAGAAGCCGTATACTAAAGTTTTTCTTTGCTGATCTTAGTAACTTGGTTACTTTCAATGAACATAAAACGTAATTACATAAAATTATAAATCATTTCTATGAATAATCAATTACCTTACCTTAAAATGTTATGAAATAATAATTTTATTTACGTGTTTTTAAAGCATGATCTTATTTATTATTTCTAAAATTTCCATCATACCCGTTAACGTTTACACAAAAAAAATTAAATAAGTTATATGCGCATTTTATGATATTATATAAAACGATGCTTAATTTCAGAGTTATTAATGCTAAATATTTCAAGACAATTTTCAGTTCGATGCTTATGTATGGTATAAATATTTCTACAAAAATTACACTTCATGAATGGTAGTCTTTCAGTCTCAAAATAAGATACCGTAAATTTGTAAAAATGCTATTCCTTTCTATACAGAAAATACCTCATACTTGAAACTATTTGTTTAATAAATGTACGATAGGATATATAGGAAACAAATTACGCTAACCAAAATAGTAAACTAAAATAGTTGTTAATGTCTCTTACCCAGGAACTAAGGTGGTATAATCAAGCAATGTATTCAACAATTCCGCGGATTCGAAATGATAAAAAAATTACTACGTAACATATTTCAAAATCTTGTTATGCTATTATATTCATAGAAAATTTGAAACTTTTAAGCATTTTGTAATCAGAATCTTACATTGATCTTATTTTATCAGTACACTGGAAAATGCTTAAGTGGCATTTCTGTTTTAGTATGAAATTATTTACAAAAATTTCATTGGAGATATTTTTTATAAATATTCTATTACTATTTATTTATAAATTTATTTGCATTTATCTTAAAAAATTTCATTTTGCATTCATTATTCAAAACATCGATTCTAACAACGTGAATGAGGTTTATTTGTTCAGGAGTGTCTCCGTTGAGATATAACGCGATATCTAAAAAAACCTGTGCATTTAAATATTTCCTTGGATATTACATTAAGTTTTAATATTTGAATACTCATCAAAATATTTATCTAATTGTTTATTTATCATAAAGCTGACCTATGTCTGATGATGTTTTCTTATGCTAAAAATATATTATTATTTCTCATTCTTCAAACTTCTAATATTTCGATGCTTTGTTTGGAAAATTTAGTAATCTTTTACATATATGGCAGTTCTAAAATAACTTCATAAATTTGAAGCCTCTTACAAACATATTTATTCTGGAACAAGGATATGATAAAACAACTGTTACCAAAACTAGCTTTCTCAAACCTTATAAATAGTGCCTGTTAGTTTCATTAAGAAGTAATACATATTATAAATCAGAAATTCATAATATGTATTGAAATTCGTACCTTGAGAAGTGTGAGTTTTATCCATATGTACCCAAGTCTTCCATCTATCCTCAAACCAAATTTTTCAAGTTGTTTTCGCAGATGTTACACATGATAGAAAAATTCCTTGCACCTTCCATTGTAAAAATAAAGATTACATCAAATGCCATGAAAGATCCGATGGAATTCCTGGAGACATTTAGGACATACCAGTTCCACGACTAGTTCTTACTTCTTGAAAAGCAAAACATTTAAAGGTGGTTCTTCAAAATTGGCTATTTCAATTTGACCCAAGTAGCCTCCGATGTGGAACACCTCTTTGACGTCACGCTTTCTGAAGATTTTGCTGGATCCTTGGGTGTGTCGCGGATGTAGATGCTCCGCTGGACAAAGGGTCGAAAACGTAAAAGCTGTTTGTAGCAGAATGTGTTCGTGACATCGTTTTGCTTTCTTTTGTAGTTTCAAGAGAAGCCTTGTTCCGTGAGGAAAATTTCATTCACTTTGCAACGTGACATTACTGATGATACTTCTGTCATGTTGGCATTTTATCCCCATTTGGTGTATCAAAACTTAAAAGTCATTTGTGAAGAAATCTCGTTATTTTGTTTATCAAATTCTATTTTACGATGCAGTGCAAGCTTACATAAATAGTTCAATACATTGAAGTGCTGAGAACGAAGCGTTAATGTTTATGAAATATTTCATGTATAATTATTTTTTGCATGAGTTTCTTTTACATAAAATGGCTATGGTAAAAATTAACAGAAAGTTTATACTGAAAACCTATACAAAAGTTTAAATATTCTAAAATATTTTTTGTATTTAATTATTATTCCAACTATTTTCAGTTCTCTGATTCCTTAAATGAAAATAGATAGATCACTTTACATGGGAGAACAAAGCTTTTGTTCCATGCCTTCTCTTGGTTATTAAACATTTACTATTTTCATAAAAGTTTATGTATGATTAGGATTGCCGCCGTTCAGTTGTATTTTGCGCCAATGTTTACATTTCGCGCGAAGTGTCGCCACATCAGCAGAAAAATACCTTAAAATCACAGCGCAGAATTTAAAAACCATGTTGCAGTATATAAAAAGTCAAAAACTGTTTAGTCGAAATAACGACACTGCAAATTTTTTATCCCAAAGTATAAAATATTATTTCATTTGCTCAAGCAGTCAATAATCAACCGCTTTAAAATTATTAAAATCGTATAAATATGTGATTAAAATCATAAGGCTGAATATAAAAATCTAGAAAATCAAAATGACGATTTTGCACAACCATTTTCGTAAAATAAATGAGCAATATTGTTTAACTTAGACAAATCACTTGAAGATTCAGGTTTGCTTAGTATTTGAATAATACTACGTTTACTAGAACCAATATCTTAAGTATTCCTGTCTCAAGCGAAAGTTAATTTACTGCTTATAAAACGCATTTTGTTATCCACTAGATAGGTTGATATGGTCACTTAAAAAGTCAATCAACAAGATAAGTCTCAGCAGATTTGGCAATCACCTAACGGTTTTTATTAAAATATTTAAATATGAGAACCTTCTACGAAAACAATTCATCTAATTTTTATTAATAATACTTGGGCTAATTTGATTGTGGAAGTTTTTCCACCTCTGAGTTTTTAAACACTTTCGATATGTTCGAACGTTCTTTATTCTATGTTCGTTCGAACTTCTTTCGATATGTTCGCCAGCGACCGAGCGGTAGTCTCTAAACGATGGTAGCTTTTGAAACGAGTTCAAAGTCCCGCAGACTGGTTGCATCCAAGAGCATTTTCCTGGTTTTCCACATGTGTAACGTAGGTACGAGCCAGTTTCCCTTAGAAAGTACTCAGCGAAGGCATCCCTCCTCTCCTTAGGCAGACACACTCGAGTTGCTTTGCTTTACTTGATTAACCTAATCAACTAAACTAAATCCTTCGAGATATTGATAGGTTTTTAATGAACAGATTTAATATACCGACAAAATAACAAATGAGGTTTGTGAGGGAATGTTCGTTGCAAGCCTTGTGAGCAAATAATTAATAAATACAAATTTAAAACCATGCCTTGAATATTTAAGATTTTTGTTTATTAAATAAAAGACAAAGTTTAAACTTGGCAGTAATTTATGATAAAAAACAGCAAATTTTCCATTATGATTGATTATGCATTGTTAATTTTAATAGCTTTTAGAAATAAACGATTTTATGTTCTAAAAATAAAACTTTAAAAGGATTAATTTTTAATTTAGTATGAAAATCGTAATTTGGTAGCTTAAAATTGATTGAACCGAACGGCTCAACATTGACTGAGTGGTTAAGACCGCTGAGTACTTGTAGTTCGACCTTGCGTGGGTTGAAACCCAGATGAAGAAGTGGCTGCATGTTTGTTTTGGGGGTTTACTCATGTTTAACGTCAATTACAGTAAGTTTCTTTATATAAAATTCTTTACAAAGGTATCCCTCCTTTTAGGTAGATAGCCCACGGGGCTTTGTCATATTCAAATAGCCTAACTGAATACGAACATTAGATTACTGTATTTTATTAATCTTGTAATTTTTATATTTTAAAATATTTTGTTAGCTTTTTGTAACTTAAGTTTTCTTTCGTTTACATGATTCATTTTTTAAACTGAAACCTGGCTCTATGGCCAATCTTTTACTAGATATTTAATCCTGCTATTTTTTAAGCTTAATTCTAATAATTATAATTTTAAGCTATAATTCTTTATAATGACCGTAATTAGATATGATTCTGTACCTTTTCCTCAATACCTTTTCCTCTTTCTTTGAGTTACCTCAGTCTGATGTCTTTTCTTACACTCCTTAATATTTGAGTGTCTCAGAGTTCAAGTAAAGACTTTTAATTTTATCCATTTTTTCATTACGTTGCTTAACTTTTGATCTTGGGTTCAACAGCAGAAGTTGTAGAGTTATGGAAACAATTCTTTCTGTTGTTTCAGTTGTTTTGCGTTCCAGAGAACGCAAAATTTCTGTACTGCCAAAATAGGAAGTATCCCATATGAACACCAAAGCAACAATAGACAATTAGATAATACTTATTTTAAAGTGAGTAAACTTCCGTAATAATGTAAAAAATTAAGCCTAATTGAATGAAAATGATGCTTCAACTTGTGCTATCCACGGCCGCCAGTGGTTTATATATACCTCAATGAAAATGATGTCACAATTTCATAGTACATAGTTTCGGAGACCGTTGACATAAACTGCAGCAAACTAAAATTTTATTATGTGCTATCAAGAAACTTTTATTATCTTCAATCAATCTAATTATGGTCATATTTTTATTACTAAATTAATCTGTAAAATACTATTAAAATATTGATGCTAGTATTAATTCCGAATCGTTGAAGTCATCTTTACTATGAAGTTTCTGGGAAATAGAAAATCTTGAAATGAAATTGCGTTTTGCGATGTTAAGAATTTCGTTCTCGAGATGAAGCACACTAGTTATATTGTATTTTTTTTTCATTATGGTATTAATAAATAAAAAGCTGTTTCTCTTAGGAGTATTTCATGACGTCATTCGTTCAACAAAACTGAAAAAATAAATATTGCATGCAATGTCATCGCGATAGAGCTGCTTTCAGATTTACTCTTTTATTTTCAAGTATTATTTTTATTAGTCCTTCGTCAGAATCTGTTTACTTCGTTGTTTAATAACTCAGTATGACAAATCTGTAACTGGAAATGTAAGCATTGATTAATAACTCAGAAATGACTGATTTACCCAGAATGAGTCAAAATATCATAAAATATTTTTTTTTACATTTTTAAAACTAATAAATATTTTTAATGTTAGTTCCTTACATATGTATGACAGTTATATTTTGTTAGCTTTATTCAAGTGATATGATAATGATTAAATATTTTTTTGTTTCATTTAACATTTTGTTCAACAGCAGCCTAGCGGATAAAGTCGCTGAATACAGGTTATTTGACCAAGATTTTTAAAATGTCAGCTAACGGGCTGGCCGTTTGAGTGTCTCCGTTGCTTTTCCTATGTGTGAAATAAAAGTGGCTAGTTTTTTGTAGAAAGTGTACAAGAAGTTGGATAGCTCCAGTATATTTTGCAGTAATTCATGTAATCTAATCCAGTCATTTAATGCTTCAACAATTAATAAAGTAGAATATTATACAAATTGAGTACATTATGTAAAATTAAATAATGATACTTTTATAAAAATTCTCAGCAGAAATGTTTAATGTACTTAAAATAATTTCTGCCGTAATATTAATCGGGTAATAAAACGATAATTTTATCGGTTTTTTATGAGCAAAATTTTAATTTTCCACATAATACATCATTATCATTATACTTTTAGTATTTATATTCTTAAGAGTAGACAGGCGGCTTCCTATTTAATTAATTATTTAAGAACTCACTTTTACATTTACTACTAAAAGCAACTGGATTATAAGTAATTACATTTTCTTGATGTTTCAATTTGAACCCTTTCCTAGAAGGAAATTATTAATGAAAATCTAAAGCAGAAAAAAGTCGCCAAAAGAGAGCAAGCACGAAAACTGGAGGTACATTTTTTTTCTTCTTTTCTTTTTCTTAAACAGCCAATGCTTTTTATAAAAATATTCTTTAGAAATAATTTTTAACGTTACACTCGAGGTGCTTATTAAAGAAATTATTCAGAAATATGGAATTTTTTGTCTGCTTCGTAAGGCGAGACGACCAAGCGCGAGAAGAAAGTCCATCTGAAGAATGTGTTCAAAAGCGTTCAGTCTCGTTCTTTAGATAAAGCCGAGTTCAATTAAACTGGCTTCTTTCTTCGAAATTAAGATATCATTCTCAGAAAAAGACCATTCAACGAATCTTTTTAAACATGAAATTTACTTACCCCGTATTGAAAAATGAAATTACTACGATATAATTTGTTTACTTATTTAAAACTCCATCTAAGCAGCTGCCATTTTTTTTTTTTTTAATCCATGTTTCACAAAATTTTCAAAATAAGTGTAGAACATATTTTCTCTCCATAACATATTAATATTGTAAGCGCAAATTGCTATCCTTACATTAATTTATAATATATAAAATATTATCACTTCTCTTATCTCTTTCTTTACATTGGCAAAATTTCGGCATAATAAAACAAATAACGAAAAAACACAAAATAGAATGATTTATATATCAGTACTTGGACTGCTTATAGTAGCTACAATGAATGACAATTTTTGTGAGTTTGTCCTGAAATTTTGTCATTAACAAAGACTTGGGGCCCAGCAGCGGCCGATAATGCGGCTTGAACACTTAGTAGCTCAACCTGGCTTGGAACTTACACGAACAAGCTGAGTGCTCCGCTCTTTCTTTTTTTTTTTTTTTTTTTTTTTTTTTTTACCATGTAACGTGAATAAATGTAATGAATTTTCTTTCGAAATTCGTACGGTAATTCATCTTTTC